TTGCTGAAATTCAAGGCAACTTGGACATGTTGTCTTATATAATCCAGCCACTCCTAGCAAAAAAGTGAACATTTGACTATTTAACCCTCTAAATTCATTTGAAACGAATAAAAGGATAAAAGTGGGTTTTTGAAATCAAACTGCTATGGAAGTTGCTTTACCTGCAACTTTGGTCCACGACTTTCATAAGATTACCTATGGGGCCAAATCAAACTGAACCATGTGAACAGGCCCTATTTGGTCAGAAATACAACTGGGACCCAACTGCCCCGTTCTAAACTGGTGAGTTCACATTACTATGTTTTACTATCTCATGACTAAAATTTCAGAATGAAAGCTAGGAAATCTGCTTCTGTATGGGTTTGGGGTTTTTCTGGGTCGGGGTCTTGTTCTGTTGCCCAGGCTGGAGTACAGCGGCACAATCACGGCTCTCTGCAGCCTTGACCTCTTGGACTCAGGTGATCCTCCCACCTCCACCTCCCAGTGATGGGATTATAGGCTTGAGCCACCACACCCAGTCGACTAATTTAATATTGTTGATGTAATAAAAACAGCTGTGTCTTCTGAGTTATTGGCAAGATACCTACGTATTTGTTTATTTCTTTATCTTGAGTTGGAGTCTCACTCTGTCGCCCTTGGCTGGAGTGCAGTGGCACGCTCCCGGCCACTGCAGCTTTGACCTGCTAGGCTCCAGGGATCCTTCTGCCTCAGCCTTCCCAGTAGCTGGAACTACAGGCATGTGCTACCATGCCCAGCTAATTTTTAAAAAAATTTATTGTAGAGATGAGATCTCACCATGTTGTCCAGGCTGGTCTCGAACCCGCAGGCTCAGGCAATCCTCCTGCCTCGGCCTCTGAAAGTGCTGGGATTATAGGCTTGAGTCACCGTGTCCGACTGATACCCACATATTTAATTTAACTTTAAGGTTCTTTTTTTTTTTTTTTTGAGTTGGAGTCTCACTCTATCGCCCAAACTGGAGGGCAGTGGCTGCTCCTGGCCACCGCAACCTCGACCTGCTGGGCTCCGGCGATCC